AATAGAAGCTGTAATACCGTGTCTCTAACCATTATGGTTTATGGTATTCAATTCATTTAAATGAAGAAGGGCTAATTTGCAGTGTAGCAAATGATAAACTTGACTTACTGGTATTAGCACAGTCCCTTATTTTATTTCTCCCTGCAGTATTTCAGGCACTGTGTTGTTACTGCTATAAAAATCTAGGAAGATAAAAAAACAATGGTGAATTATCTGTTAAAAACAGAGCTGTGAAGGGCTCTGTCAAAGGGCTCAGCACTTTCCAAAAGACAAACTGGATTCACTAGTTTCTTAGGATCTGGAGACAATTTCACAATTCCTTGCTTTATAAACTTACTTTCCCTGGGTGAATGAACAAAATCTTTTTAAATGGCATCTGGTGTGAAATGTTGTAGAGAAACAGATGTGAGTGGCCATGAGAACTAGAAGCAGACACAGTTCTGTGGCTCTAGACAGCTGCTTGTGAACAAGTAAAGGTTCACAATTCAAGCCCTGGGTAATTTCAGTGGTTTTATGATGAGCTGAGAAAATATTTGATAGCATCAGAAATCGCTTCTCTTGTAAAATCTAGGAAGCATGAGGAATTTCTAAATGCTTCTTGAAAATCTTCCACTCAATTCATGGATGTATCTGAATTTCTTTAAAAAACACTGCAAGATCAGTCGTGCTCCCAAATTCAGGTGGCTCAGACCTTGCATGCCAAGCTTTCACCAGGAGCTCTCCCTTTCCATAATATTTAGACTATGAAGAAAGCAGAAATATTTGTGAATCTCCCCAGGTTCCACTAAAAATAACATGTATGATTAATTGTCCAAATTATCCCACCAGAACCTAATTGATTTTACTATTTATCTTTTAAGAAACTCCACACCTATTTACCTGACTAAAAAAACTGAGAAGCACAAGTGTCATATATGAATGAGCTGCAGGAAATATACCTTTATTTTTGCATAAAAGATATTTATACCAACTAAGCAGCTTCAACACACAATCCCATCTGTATTAGCAAGAGATGTGCACACATCTTCAATTATTGAATATTCTAATTTTAACAGGCCATATAATTACCTCAAATATATATTATATATAAATACAAGATATTATATAATATGTATAATAATATAATACAATATAAATATAATTATACCTTAAGAACCATATCAAAACTATAGTTCACAACCTATTACACATATTTTATATACATATTACTACACATAACAAAACTTTCTAAATCACCAGGTGGTCACCTTCCAGGCTATCTACAAAGCGTAAGCTTATGCTATTTATAGTTTAAAAATAATTACATTTCTTTTGTGAAAGGCTGCAGTGGTTTTCATTCTGTAGGTGCAACACTAGTGGTTTTAATATTTTCTTAATCAAGTATTATTAAAACATTCTCAGACAATTGTATTATGTGTTACATAATGTAACATCGTGTGCTACGTAATTTCTTGAAGTTTGCTGGCTGAAAACTCAAGCAAACAGGTTTTACCTATTTACTATTACATTATACTTCATATATACTATAACATTATACTTCACCTATTAACTGTAACAGGTTTCACTTATTATACTATGCCACAAATATATATTTTAACTCAGGGTTTGCTCTTCCTATTTCACAAGCATGTTTTAAGGTAAAGCCATTTGCTTAGCACTCTTTTCCACCTACCACTCTTTGCCTCACCTACTTGGACTGTAACTTTTAAAGGCAAAGTCTGACTTTTGCTTTATTGTCTTTGTACCATCATCTGGTCAGGCTTTTCTTGGCCTTCAGCATTTACCAGCTTTCATCCCTTAAAATTTGCCATGTGCTCCAGAGCTTATGAAGAACATTATTTTATCAGAAATTACTGTCATTTGCCGAGGCTCCATGGTATTTGTTTCTATTTGACTTTCCTTGCAATCTGAATTAAAATTTTTTATACGCAGGCGATGATAAAAAAACAGTTTCTCTTTTGTCAAAGCTTTTCATGTGAAAGTTTAATAACATGCATTGAAACTTTAAACTCTCCTATTAGACCCACTAGGGAATTTTTATGAAAGCTAAAGCCTTCACAGTAACAGCAAATGGTAATATTTTCAGTAAAACTTTACAAGGCACTTGAGGATATGGTTTAAGGATGGTTATGGTGGTAGATGGCAGGATTAGATGAACCTGAAGGTCTCTTTCAACCCTGGTGATTCTGTGATTTCCTTATGTCTCATCTATTACTGCAGTGGCATAAATATGACTTCCTTAAAAGACAAATTCTCTAAATGTTTATTAAGCTGCTCACTAAAATATTGAAGTCAATACATTTTTTTCTACTTCCCACTAGAACAATTTCTTTAAAACCTTTGTAACCATAAGATACAAGATTGTGGTTTCTCTCTTTCTACTTCATCTCTTATTACACAGGAAAATTCTTTTGTATATCCTTTGTTTTCAAACTCCCCTGTCCAGTGGTTATGTATTTAACTGCTTTATTTTGTCTGAAGTTATACTTAAGGTAATTTTACTGCAGAGGTGAGGAAGGCAGAGTGAGCTGCCTGTTTTAGGTGCCTGCAGAGCTTGCTCATTCTCATCATAACCGTAATTCTGCATCCTGAAATATATTTGTAATCTTCCTGATCTTTTCCCCTCCTTAGAGAACTGGTTTGGTAGTAATTCTGTCCTTATCAGGGATTCATAAAAGTGTCTGAACAGTTTCACCTGCCACAACTGAATGTGATCTCTGAAAGCCTCCGGGGACAGGGGGGTTTTGTGTGTAAAGTGCCACACATGGCCAGAGCAGCCCATGATTAAAGAGCTTTGGGGATCTTTGCACATAAACCTGTGGGTTTACTTCAGGCAAAAAGCAAACTGCAGCTCATAAACTGAAATGCTGATGTGAAATTGTCAGCATCACCTACGAGAATGCTCCTCACAGAGATATAACTTAATAATTTAAACCTGTAATTTCAGAGTTTCAGTTTGAAATATTGCCTTATAAAGAAAATCCAGAAAGTGTTTCTGTTCCAAGTAAAATCAGGTATAGAAATTAAATATCTCTTACTCCGGTTTTTTTTTTTCAAATGTCATGTATAGTCAATCTCCTGCACTGTTGGTCGCCTTGCTGGTTAGTATCTCACATTTTTGAAGATTATTTATAGAAAGGCCCTGCTTTTAAGAACCACTCTATTAGGTTTGTCCAATTGATTCTGGAAACTCAATTTATTATACATATTTTGAATCTAAATTTTCTGGTCATTACAATATCCTGGTTTTCCTTCTACTGTTAGTTTACAGAAGAATTTAAATACAATGGGAATGATTATTTATAGGATGTGGAAAAAACATCCGAATGTAGAAAGTAAACTGACAGAAACAGGGGTTTATCAGTTGGAGCATTCTGCTTTACAGGTTAGTGAAACAAATAACTGCTTTTTCTACCGATTCAAATATTTTCAGGACCTTGCTAGGATACCATTTTGCTTTTCTGTATCTATATAAACTTTTGTAGGTTCTTATTTTGAAAATATATAAAACCACCTCGTATATTCTTTGGTACACAGCTTTATTTTGTGTTCTACCAGCAAAATCAGCAACTTCAGCTGGACTTTTTCCTTCGGGCCACAGAAAAGGCACAGTTAACTTGTTTGCACTGGGGGGCTGGTGAGAGGCTGTGAACCGAAAGGGTGTAGTACAGGAATTAGTGCATGTGTGAAACGTTTCCTGCTCTTCATTTCTCATCTCCAGAAAGCCCCACAGTGGAAGCAGCATGTCATGTTTTCTCTTTGAATCACAGTTCAATTCTGCCATACCAGAATGTGTTGCTCTGAGTTGCAATTCAGTCATAAACCAATACATTTAGAATGCTTTGTTTTAAAGAAGAAATACCATGAAAGCACACCCCAAGCACACCCTGTCCATCTGTTCTCTACTGCCCATCCAAGTAATTCCACTCTCCTCTGAGATGCTGGTTATTCCTTCTCCACTGGTGCCAAACAGTGAGTCCAAAATACAGATGAATGCTGAGCAGCAGGAAAAGTGGTTCCAGTAAATTAAAGAAAAGTGCTGACAGCCATTCCTCTGCTTGGTGTCCCTGGCTTTCGGTACTACAGCACAGCCTGCGGAAGAAATGAGCAGTTCCCAAGCCCAGGTCATTAGTTAGAAGTTTTGTTGATTCCAACTCAAATCAGGTATGTGCTCCTGAGGGCAGTGGTTATTCCTAAATTAACACTGAGAACGGATAAAAGTGTCTAGCTTTGGCTTCCTTAAATTCAAATTCATCATTAAGCTTTGCTCAAATAACGTAACTTACCTCACTGCATATGCATTTGAATTGCTGACAAAAAGGAGCTGACTGTTTGTAAATTAGCTGCTGCAATCGCAATTAGCTCTCCGCGGGCAGGGCCTCAAAGGCCAGCGGGAATTCATCGGCCATTCACCACCCCCTGCTGACCCCTCAGGCCTCTCTGCTCCATTTCTCCTTCAGCTCCTGCAGCATTTGCAGTTACTTTTTACCACCCACTCCTAAAATTGTGACTCTCCCGGGACTCTTGTAACCCACTGACCTCTCATGTGCTGGAAGAGGGACAAACAGTGGGGTTTTCCTTGCTGAGAGAAGCGGGAGGCAGCGAAGCCATGCCCGGGGGGGTGAGCCCCAGCCCCGCTGCGGGGTCAGAGCGGTGTCCGGGCTGCTGGGGGAAAGGGCCGTGCTCCTGCTGCCTGCACTCTCCTCAGCACCTGCGAGTGCTCCAGCCCAGCTTGGACAGGGCTTGCAGCAGCCCTCTGTGGTGCCTTCCAACATAACCCGTATTTCAGCTCATTTTGGAGAAGTTTTGGAGGACTGGCTCCCGTGCAGGGCAGTGACCCACAGGAGCCCAAAGGAGTCGCGCCCTCCCTGAGGCCTTTTTGGAGGGCACTCAAAGGGGCACACACTGACTGTCTGCCCCAGAGCTCAGCGACTTCTGCCTCATGTTATTGCACCCCAGGGTGAAATAACCCTCCTTCCCTTTTTTCTCCCGTTTTTTAGTGTCGAAACAGCTTTCCAGTGACTGTCACACTCTTCAGCTTGCCCGAAGGTGTCCTGACTTGTTAGGAGAGACAAGCAGGAGGAATGGAAGAAGAACAAGCCCAGGGATCTGGTATTTATTCTCAGCTCTGTTACTGACTAGCAGACAGTGCCAAAAGAATGTTTTAAATGTTCCAACGTTTAATGTTTTAAATGTAAGAATGTTCTCTTAAAGAACCCGAGATCATCGGGGGAAATGCACCACCATAAACAGTCGACGCATTTGTTTGTGTGTACTTTAGCTTTTCCTTCCTTAAATCCATGTTAGAAACCAATTGAAATGTCTTTTTAGATCTCTCAGAAAGCTTTCAATTAAAAAAGTACAGGAATATGTTTGAGGAATTCTTCATCACCATTACGCATACACTTATTCACTCTTAGTAATTCTACTTTGAACACCAGAAAAAAACTCTGAAATGCTGTCCCTAAAATAAAGTAAATAAAATCCAAGCTTTTTATTCTTCCTCAAGAAGAACTAAAACTGTTTGACCTCTTAGACTCTACTTTCAAACACTAATGAAAGTAATGGCTAATTGTTATATTTTTAAATGTTATTATATATTTTATGTGAGATACATACATTTATGTATTTTATACATACATTTATGTATTTTATACTTACTAATCCCTAATAATTTGGGGGTTGTCTTTTTAGAAGCCTCAGCCATGACTGCTGAACTCAACACAAAGCCACTGACTGAAGGGAAAAGAGACTCAGACAAAGAATCTATGTTAAAAGTATGTTCATTTTCTTGGTCATGCTTCTTAATGTGCTGAGATTTTCTACATAAGGAACATTATTTATGAATCACTCAGAGTTTTTCCAGATTCTATTTTTAGAATTTCTGAGTTATAAGTAGAGAGCTTATAACTAGTCCAGAAATTGTGCTATGTGCACTTCTCTGAAATTTTTCATAAGGAAAAAATTCCTAACAAGGAGTGTAGTTACACATTTGAAATTTCAAATTATACTTCATTTCAAATGGTTAATAATCTTAATTTGGTCTAGATTTCTATTGTTTTTTAATTAAATTTAAAGGCAGGAAATACGATTTCTAAAGTAGACAAGATATTGATTATAAACTGATTACAAATGTTTCTGGGCATGTTTAATCAGGTTCATTAACACTCAGTGTTAATAGTGACCAGGTGTGTTCGTCGCGTTACTGTCGCTGTAGCTCCATCTTGTGGCTGAATTATTATTCTCAATTAATTTTCGATTCTGTAGGAAAAGGTCGAAAACAAACATGAAAAACGACGAGGAGAGGAATTCACAGATCTGATTAATTTCACTGGGTTGTTTCTATAAGAAAAAAGTGACAGGAAAAAGACAACCCAACCCTAAGTGCTTTTTAGTGCTCACCTTCCATAGCTGTAATTTGCCATGTCTAAGAGGCTAATTATAAACTGGGGGAAGTTTTAATAAAATATTATTTAAGAAAATGAAAGAAAAAATGTCAAGAGTGTTATGATTACCTGTATCAATGAGTTTATGAATCATATATACCCTGCCAATCATGTTTTGTTCCTATTTTGTACAGGTGATCAAAAATTCTGATGGACAGTTTAACCTTGAGGCTGCAATTAAAAATGTTGATACAATGGCCAATGAACTGAAGAAAATAAATGGTAATTCTGACTTCACCATCCAGTTAAATAAAGAACTGTGTAAGACACTCTTCTAAGAGTGTGCAGTTGTGAATGGCCTGGTTTCCTGTGTCAGACAACTGGGTTTTAATGTAGTGAAGCAATAGCTTTGCTCTTGTGTTTTGAAAAATTAATGGAACAGTAGTTAGAGAGCAATAAAATCATGTTAACCATGGGAAACACCTGCAACGTGACCAGTCATTCCTTTCCAGGAACACTGAGTCTTCTAATGCAAATATTTCTAACATGCTAACACCAACTGAATTTAACTGTCTTGAAGCAAGTGAAACAAGGCAACCCTTCAACTTTTTGAGTGAGTTGATAGATGAACACTAAAACAATGCTGTCTGTAGATTACCCTTCACTGTCATTCAGTAAATATCATGCTGATACACTGACCTTTGTCTTCCAGTGGAAAGCCAGCTACTGCTTTGTGACCTGATTTTGAATTTCAACCATCCTGTGAAGGCCAAAGATTTAAGAGAAGCTGAAGAAAAGACTTGGAGTTTGACAGATTAAGTAACATCCATTTTTATGCATTGTCTTCTATTAATGCTGATGAAACTACTGCTTTTTCTTCTTTCTTCTTCATCTTTCTTTTAATTAAGTTTGGACTGTTCAATGATAGCATGGTTTCCTGCAGTTAGACTATTTTTATTTTAAGCTAAACATGTGGAATGGAAAAAAAGAGTAGGTTATTGGTTCTGAGAGGGGTTTTTCAACCCACATTTCCCAAATTAAGCCCACTAGGACTGGAAAGACTGATGTAATTAATTAAAAAGGTCAGGACACTGGGCATGAATTTCTTCACGTGGTTTTCTCCTTTTAAACAAAGACATGTTGGAATAGTAACAAAAGATTTGAAATTTGCTTCAAGTCACTGCTCTCTTATCTCAGTTGTGCTCAGAGAAACAGAAAGAAAGAAAGAAACTGTCAGTGAAGGAGGAACTGCAACTTGTGTTTTGAGCTGCCTTCCTCATCTTAAAAATATTGCTGAGGAAGGGGTCAAGGAGCAGATTATTTCTGGAAAACTAAAAGTACTTTCCATTCTAGTTTCTGTAATGACTCTCTAATGCAACTAGCTACAAAAATAGGGGGGAGTTTGTGGTTTCAATGCTCTATCCTGAAATCTTCTTGGCCCAACATTTGCACAGCAACTGCTTTCACGTAGTTCATTGCAATTAATATTCAATCACACTTTATTTGTGGACATGTTTGAATGTTGAGATGTATTTTTATTCTTACACTAAATATCTTTCTCTGACTAATCAAATAGAGATTTATTCTACTTTAAAAAATATGCAGTGTTAGAATTTGTTATGCTGGTTTATATTTTCTTTCTCCTTCACTGGTGAGGTGGTTTAAAATTAATAAAATGCAATTCCATAGGAGGTGTTTCTAGGTTGTCAGATTGTTCAAGGCAGGGCAGTGGAGCATAATTACAGTTCACAAGAGTCAGTGGTGATATGGGGGATGTTGTTCTTAATTTTAACGGTTTTTGAAAAAGACAGATTTGAAGTGACTTTTTGTTCATCAGATTAGGAGACAACTTTTAAAAATATTGGGCTAGAAGCCGCTTTTGTCACCTGAAGAATTTTTTTAATTTTATTTTTCATCTCTTTTTTGAACTCCTAGTTGCATGGAAATGAACTTTGCTAACTTTGAATTCCAGCTCTTACCCAAACATCTTAGAAAGTAACATCTACAAAACATATCTCTATAAGAATAACTGTTTATGAAATCTGATTATGTTATCTGGGAAGCTTTACCGATTATATGAAAGTTATTTTCTACCTTGAATTTTGGCTCCAGTGTTTTAACTGATACAGACACAATAGCTTTAAATGAGAAAAAGTGTGATAATGTTACAATTATCAAACCAAGGTCTTGTCAGAACACAGAGGAAATTGAAACCCAAGGCAAAAGGTTGAATAAATTCCACTTAACAGAGATGAGGGAAAACTATTGATATGGGCTGCTTCAGTGTTCCTCAGCTGCAACTTGTATTTCTGAACTGAGTCCCTTTTTTTCTTTAAAACATCCAGTAAAACAGAAAGCAGTTGTGCAAGAGGAACTAGGTTTGGCCTGACTGTGTGTGCTTTCTAAGAGATTGGGGGGGTTGTGCCACTTAAGGATCACATGATGATGATTTTTGTTGATGTGCTTCCTGTAAAAATGCAGTTGCTTGATTCAGTCAGAAGGACACAGCTGAAGGGAGATCTGTGTGGGAAACTCTTTTTTCTGAGTGATGTTAGAGAATTCTAGGAAATAGAAGGTTCCAGTTGTGGGCTGAGGCATGGAATCCCCAGTGCTGTGGCAGAGAGGATGTGCTGTCTGTGGGTGTGGTGTTTTCCTGCAAAAGTGGGAACAAGCAGTTTCACAGCTGAGTAACCCAGACACAGACAGGATCGGAGGGGTTCTGGTGCCACTGAAACCCATGCGTCTTTCAGACCTCAGCTGATCTTTTCGTAGAAGTGAGCAGAGGTAGATTGATTTATTTATTGAGGAAAAATTGGCTTTTATCTTCTCCACTCCTCACCTTTGACAACGTTTGGGTCTACTCTGTATTCACTTCAAATAACAAAATTGCTGCTGCCATTCTGATCCAAAAGAAGAGCTCCTATGAAAGCAGAGACTTGTACTGATATTTATTTATGGTTCATCAAATTTGGTGTGGAAATTATTTCAAGAGGATATACATATCTTGGAAGATAAAAAATTCTCATGTGCTGTATGATTAATGGACAGTAATAAACATTTTGTAGGAAAATTATATTTCTAGAACACTCTATTTAAGGCATAATTTAAAAATAACATAGTCCTTTTTCTTTGAAACCATGAATTTTAATGACTTCATGATTGTAGTTTGCTGAAAGGGGAAATATCTTGAAGTTTATAAACTTCAGTAGGCTTCAGTACCATATGTGATCTTCTCTAAAGTTTCATTTAAATATGTCCTGCTGCGTATTTTAACATGCACTGGTTTCTTGAGCCTCTGTCTTTTCCATCAATCAGAAGAAGAGGTGTTCTTTGGAAGTGGTCAATGATATCTGCTACAGAAGAAAATTCCTGTGGGATGGAAAAAATGAGAAGGTGAAGGCCAAAATATCAGAATTATTAGTAACCAGTAGAAACAAAAGGGTTTTTTTTAAAATTCTAATTATTTATCAATATTATTAAAAAATAAATAAGGTCCAGATCAACCGTTTTCATTTCTGCCATGATCTGTAGCACAGTAATTCTGTGTACAAGCTGCTGCAATGTTGTATAATTCATTTCTATAGTCTTCATCTGTTTAATATGTGCTATTGTCACTGTGCTTGATGTGGTGACTGTACTTGAGAGTTCAGAGGTAGCTGATCAGTTCAGGGGTTCTGTCTGGATCAGAACTGCCAGGAATGTGCTGATCAGTCTGGTGCCAGCAAATCCACCCAGTCCTGCAGGCTGGAGCTAAGCCACCAGTCTGGGAGCAAAGCTGGAATGTGGCAGGTTTGGATTAGCTGTCAGCTCTGCATTTCCCTTATCTGGTATCTCAGTGGTAAACAAACATCCCCTAACCACGAACGTGGATTTCTAATGGCCGTGTTCTAAGGCCACCCCTTCATTCCCTGAGTGCAAACCACATAACCTGGTTCTCCTTCCAGCAATAACAATATTCTCCTGTGAATAACTGAGACAACAAACAGAATTCCTCCCCAGGAGAACAATCACCTGGCACTGAGGAATGACGCAGGGATGCCTTACAATGAAGAGATGTAGTGTGAAAAACACATAATACCTCTTTTCCTTTTAAGCTGGTTCCTAATAAATATAAGTGGTCCTGCTGCTGGTACCGGATCTGGATGTTGTACACTTTATCTCTGTACAGCACCATCAGTACATATGGGTGAGTGACGGTTTTTCGTGAGCTGTCTCTCACCAAGAATGTTCCATCCTGAAACATGAAAAAATGAAAGATGACAAATAGCAAACACCTCTTGGTTTGATCAGTGTAACAACTTTCACTAGAGCACTCATGCTTCTAAGTGTGTTTTCTTTCTGAAATCTTTTTCCTTTCTGATAAGAGAAACTGCACTACTAAAGCATTTAGGTCTTTTGACAAATGTGTTGTCTTTCAGTTTGCTACTTCAAGCTTTCTACTCTGTTACAAAAGCAGATTCTAAGGGAAGGTAGGAATGCTGTTGTATGAGGGAGAGATTCCATTAACGAAGGAAGTAAAATATCAAAGACCAAACCTCACATCACTTTAACCAGAAGAGAAGTTCATTTCCACTAAGTGCCAATCATGTTTCCTACATGATGTATTTATAGGCGGCTTAAAATAATGACATTGTCTGTGTAATTTAGGTAAAGGCAGTGATACTGTACCACTCTCTCTGCTTTTCTTAATTTCAGCTCTATTTTGACAAGTCCTCCATTAGAATCCCTTTCTTAAAGGCACTGAATGGGACCTCATAAGCTGGACTTTAGCACAAGCCACTGGAGTGGTGCACATGCCATCTTCAGCTCATGGCAAGTGCAGTGAGGCAGCACAGGGTAACCATAACTTCCACAGCAATAATTCTGTTTATCTTCATGATTTTAATTTATTTCCACATGTACAGATAAGCCTTGTTTGTAACTGTACTTCATTTTGCTGGTCTCTGTGGCCTAGAAAAGGGTGGGATTCCCAGCCCTGTGCAGGTACCTTGTTTATCCTGCGGAGCGCTGTCTCTGCCTCGGGCCGGCTGACGAAAGCCACGTACCACTCATCCTTCAGAGAGCCCTGGGGCTGGGGAACAGGACAAGGACAAAGTCAGCTGCCAGGGAATGGCAACTATCACAGTAGAGACAGACAATGACACCTGTTTCTTCTTCCATCATAGCCCCATCTTTATTGCACACAGCTCATATTTATATGGTTATCAGAAGGCACCGTGTTTTATTCCAGTTGGTTAGGAACTTACTGGTTGGTGAGTGTACACATCAATCAAAACTTTTGTTTCTAACAATATTTACATACTTTTTCTACTGATTCTCATGGAACAGATCCCTCGTTATTACAAGTGTGCTTGTTTTTCTGCCCAAGAATAGTTTTTTATGTTAACAAACTTTTCATTTTCAAGATGGGAACTTATCAAGCTAGCTGCTAGTTATATTTAGCTGAAGTAACAAGGCCTGAACCATGATTTTACAAGGCCTTTCTTTTGTAAGGTTTTACCTATATGTGACAGGTAACATGCAAATAAGAGAGATTTCAGTGTGAGGGATATGTGGGTCTGTGTGAAGAATCTGTAAGGGTATGTGTGTCACAGATCACTCCGCTATTGTGGTATGGAAAGTGCTGCTAAGTTGTTTTAAATTACCTGCTCACTTTGATAAATGTGAAAATATTACAGATCTACCTATAATGCCCTTGCAGGTGAGCTAAGAAAATAGGTATTTCCAAAGACTTTCAGTAAAAGATGTTAAGTGGTATGTTCTTTTTTATCTACCTGGACACTAGGCACAAAGGCATCCTTAACTATCATCTGAGACTATAATGCAGATTTCTTGTGAATGTGCTATTTATGGTTGCCCAGCAGTGCTATCACCATGAGTGGTTTGCTCTAAACTTGTTTTATTTAAGGAAATGTGAAGCAAAAATGCACTTATAAGACTGAGTCTTCTAGTCATCAAAGTTTTGTGGAAGGAAAACTGAAAATCTGATGCTGCTTGAAGGCAGTTGTGCAAAACAAGTAATCCAGCAAACAAGTATTTTTCTTATTTTGTTCTGCTGGGGTTCAGCTGTTACTGTTTTTCTTGGTGAGGACAAAATAAGGCACTACAGTTTGACACAGAAAAGGAAACTGAAAGCACTCAGTATGTCCTGACAGTGACTACTGACTAGAAGAACAACTTTGAAAGATGTTCTCTCTCAAAGCTAGAAAACTTGCTGTCTTTACAGTTATGGTTCATATTTTGTACCTCATGTTCCTGTGTGTTTGTCTGGTGAACAGTCTGTCTGCTAGGAGCTGGCAGTGGAGGTCTCATGTCAGCTGGGCCTCTTGAAGGAGATCTGCTGTTGCTGCCTTCAGAGATACAAAAGTAGAAAAACTGTTAAAACCAGGAAAATAATTTCATCTGTGCACCCAGGGTGTAGGATCTTGATTTTATGAAGCATGAAGTATTTGTATCACCCTGGTACCGAGACATCTAGAAATTATTTGAAATCTGCTTTAGGGTTCTCTATGAGAACCAGGTTCTTTACATAATTCCATCCTTGGTGCACAGGGACTTTAACTGAGCTGTTGTGGTTCAGATTCTCATTAGAACAGATGAACTTGAAATAGGGGTGACATCAATTTCTGTACCACATTTACTCGCTTGAGAGCATCTTGGTTTCTTTAGAGACAGAAGTAATATTGTCTCTTTGCAATCCTTGCCTTCTCAGCAATTAGAAAGTAAAAAATGTCACTGTAGGATATTGACATGTTACCATGTGCAAAAAATTACTTGTAAGGCAATCGATGTCTAAGTTTTCTTTATTTTTTTTTTTTCCTTAAAAGATAAATATGGAACATGTTTCACATGAAAAGCATTTGCTAACCTTTTTGGGGAGTATTAGCATACCACAGTGATTTGCATAGCTCAGCTCTCAGTACTGTACAGAAAAGGATGGTTTTATGCAGTTTTGACACTGGTTTAACTAGACAAGAAGCCTAAACTTCATGGGGACAAAAAAGGCTTAAAATCTTTAATTCAGACTAAGTAAGGTACACAAGATGCCTTTCAAGAACTTGATAGTTTTCTGTTCACAGTCCAAGAAGAAACATCCATTA